TATTAAATAGAATTATTATAATAATAAACCAATGCTGTTTTCTTCAAAGTATCGGTATTTATAAAATTACTTCTGATTTCATATAACCCCTTTAGTCATATTAAAAAGATATAAATATAGAAGGCTTTTATCCTGAGGAATGCTTTTTGCTTATTATAATTACCTCGTTATTACATTATACATCATAATTACATTATTATGAATACCAGCTAATACTTATTATGATTACCCAGGTTACATAGGACAGAGAAAATGAAATATCTCTATCATCAGGCTGATGCATAAGAGGAAAGCCCCCAGCCTTACCTCTAGCACAGTGACTAATATCTTCCGTAGGGAGCCACTTGTGTCACTTTTAACATCAGACTCCAGATCTCTATCAAAGACTGTAGAGAAAAAAAAATCTGTGAGGGTTGACCCAGTGATAAAGGCTTTAAATGAAGGTGTTTGAAAGATACTACTACTTACGCCGTTTGTATGCCTCCTTTATGTTTACAATTTCCTAGGCAAATAAACCAAATAAACAAATAAGTAAATTAATAAATATTAAGGGAAAATGATTTGTAAATAAATAAAAAAATAAGCAAACAAAGCCCTAGCAAGTGAGTACCATGCCCATGTTGCTTGTGGTGTGGCAGGTATGGAGGCAGGAGAAGACGAATTCCCACTCCCTGCTTATGCTTGGGACTCACTGTGGCGCAGACACAACTCAAACCCAGCCCAGTTCAGAACAGCATTTTGAGGTTTCACTTGCATTTAAGTGTAAGCTAAAGGGCTTTTTGAAGAGGATGGTGTCCCTGTACCTGGTGGGAACCACCTCTGAATGGTCAGAGCAGTGCCAAAGCTGCCTTTAACAGGCACCCCGGGGTTTCTCTGACATCAGTGTTGCCTCTGTGCCACACATGGGCGGTATGAGTAGGACCAAGGAAGGAATTTGAATTATATTGCTCTCAACTCCTGCAAGAGTTTCAGCTCTGATATGTCAACTTTATAACTGCAATTACTGACAAAAGGTATTTCAGCACGGAAGCTGGTCTGATACCTCCTCCTCCTCCCGGGGGATGCTCTTGGCAAACTCTTTGCCCTGTTACCTAAGGGTCATGCATTGTCTCCCAACCTTATTGTTTTGTGTGCAGAGAATCTCGATCAGCACCGACTCATCTGTCCCAGCGCCCTTCATCGCCTTCTGAAGCTCTCGGGCCTCATACTCGCAAGGCAGGTCCAGCAGAGCCAGTACGGCCTTTTCAAAATTCCCACTCAGATCTCCCTTCAGGTCCTCTTCCAAATCCTGCAGGGACAGTTGGAAGGGTTAGTGCAAAAGCTGAGCTGGGATGAGAGGTTTTTTAAGATTTGTTTGGGGGGAATGTCATCATTTCAAATCAGCGTCTGTACCTAAAAGGGAAAAAAAACCACACACTAAAAAGCCTTTAAATACATGGACTTTTTATTTGCAAAATAAATTCCATAGAAGTTTTTCATATTTTATGAAATGATTGTCCCATCTTCAAATACCAGCAAATATCAGTCCAGTTCTGACTCTTACTTGTTTAAATAAATGCAAACTAGTGTTTTTAAAAGCTTATCAGGAGACTTTACTCTGAAACACAACACAGAAGCTTCCTGCTTTGAAAGAGGTGCAACAGAGGGGATCAAACTTACCAAACTTCTCTTCCAGTTTTGTTTAAAATTGACTTATGTGAAAAAGAGACAAATTCCTACAAAGTGCTTTGGTGCCAAGCAATCAGCATTTTTTCCACCCCCCCCAAAAAAAATCAACTTTCTGTGATATGATTTACTTAATTCAAAATTTAGTAAGAGCCTGGAGAAGAACTAGCTCATATATGTACTCTGAGAAGGACTCCTACTGATGATTTACTTCAATCCCTATCTGCAGTTAACATTTCCTGTAGTACAGGAAGTACTTGACAAGTTCAGAACAACAAAAGAGCTCTGAATCTATTATTCTTAAATATCCTCTTACACAATCTCAAGTCAACACTCAGTCTATGGAAGTCAATGTCTGACATGGGTGTTGGAGCAGTTTCAACATGTGCACCATGAACCTTGCTTTCTTGAGCAGCAGGAGATCGAACTGGTACAACTTGTGGCTCCTTCCCAAGAGATTCAGGCTGCCCAGGCAAGTGAGAAAGGTTGCTACATGCTGATGTAACCAGGATGTCTCGTGGCATTTCCTCATTTCTAATGCCTGCTTTTATTAATCCTCATTATAGAGCTAAATCTATAGTATTTATGCAACCAAAATCCTGGTCATGCTTGAAGGTTTATATGTAGAAGGCTTTCAGTTTCAGTGCCATCTGCCTTATTAACACTGATTAATCACTAATGAGTAAGCAGATATTAAGAACATACTAATTTAATAATAAGCTCTGCAGGATCCAGCTGCTTACCTAAATAATATATTGGAAGCTTTATTTATCTTACATGCAAAATTATCAGGGCAGTCTATGTTTCCTTCTCCAGAAATCAAGTGCCCAAAGAGATGTTCAGCTTTGCAATGTGTAATCCGCTTCATCATGGGAAGAAATCAATACTACATCCATTAAACTCATCAAAATATAACAATATAAGATCAAATAGTTCTTCTGAATTTGCATCTGGTCTAAGAGGGATTATGACTTAAAATTTACCTTTTACATTTTTTTTAATATGTTGAAGATGAACACAAGCTGAAATATTTTTTATTTCTGTTATTAATTATTTTCTAGGTCTCCCAACTTTGATTAAAGTGCTCTGATCTGCTTAAGGCTGATTTCAAAAAGACTCTAAGGCCTAAGAATAGGAATATAATTTGTATTTTAGGAGATAAAATAAACTGCTGAATCAGAATCTAACTGGTGTCCTCCTTAAATCCACTGTGCCCTTGATATGTTCAAAAGCAGAAGCCTACAGGCTGTATTTCTAGCAGGATGTGGTTTGAAACAGAGAGGTCATTTATTTTGAAATACCTTGTTATACAGAGCCTTGTACTTCTGTTTTATTTGTTGCCTCTGCTGTGATGTTCGACTTGACAAGACTTCGATAATTTTCTTTTCATCAGTTCCTGAAAAAGAAGTTGTGCACAGGAATTATTTAATCAGGAACCTAATGCCGAGGAAAGAAAATACTGTCTCTAAAGAGAAAACCGTTGCTATAGACGTATCCCCACTGGTACCAACTTTAGGATTTGTAGCATCTAAGATTCTTTTGAAGACATATTTAACTGTAGCCGCTACAATGATCAGACCATAAAAGAAACATTCACCATCTTGTGCTGCTCATATTTTATCAGGGAAAATTGAGTCTTCTGTATGTGAAGGTCAGATACTGCTCTTAAAATCAGGGTTATGGCAGTGCCCATAGGCTGACAGACACATTTTTGGTGGCAGTGCTTATCTGAGTAGTCCCAAGGGATCAGCCACTAGACCCAGTTCCTTAAGAGTGGGAACGGTTGTGCCAGCACAACAGAACAAACGGCGTGGGGCGAGAGGCCGAGGTGGCTGAGGATGTGTCTGAATGGGTCATTAACTCACAGCCTGAATGGACAGCCTGTACAAAACGGGTCGTGCTTTGCACTAAATGGAGTCAGGAAGAGGAGCAGGAACCAGCCTTCATGGTTTGAGTCTCTGCTGATGCTGCTAGAGTGAAGTGGGAGCACGGGGTGCCCCAGTGATAGGCACCACAGCAGCTGCATCTCCTGGGAACCCCCGAGGAACTGGACATGCAACATCCCTCCAGCAGAAAATCCCTGGGCAGCTTTGAGCTGTAACTTGTGCAATGGATGGAAGCAGCTTACTGAAGGCAATGACCTTGTTCTTGTACTTTTCTTGCCCTCAGCTGTATAAACAGATGTTTGCACTAAACAAAGCTGCTGGAAGGCATTTGTTATGTTTGTGGTTAATGGAACAGGACTGCAGCAGTGCTACTTGGATACCCAAAAGACACAATAGAGTAGCTATTGCATTAATACACATGTCCTGATGTACTTCCATGTGAGGGCCAGCAGCTTGCCTCAGGCATTATTTCTTCAAGACAAGTATTGAAATGGAGAATGCGTATCAGGAGAGACCTATGACCCTGCATGTGATGGGCACTGTCAAAATGCCCATAGCATATAAAGGGTTTAGATGGCAGATCAAAGGCATCAAGGTGTATGCCTGGTCTGCTGATGCATGCATCTCATGCTGGTGGACACTGCCCATGCTCTCCTTGTGCTTTTGTTGCATCCAGCTACTGGGCTTTGTGCTGTGTCTCATCACAGGCACTCAGGAGCAGAGACCAACAAGAGTTTCCAAGGAGCTACCAGGACAAAGCATAAAAATAGAAATGATATTGGCATTCAGCAGCAGCTGATGTATTTTCATCCCTGCGTATCACCACCAGGTACATACAGGACAAGTTTAGGGCATCTTGTCCAGTTCTTCCTGCTTAGAACCAAGGCAGAAGGTATGGTCCAACTGTAGAAGGAAAAGCATTTCTATCTGAGAATGTGGGGTTAAACTCTCAGTAGGAGAGTCCTCTGGGGAACTGTCTTGAGGGAGCTCAGTTGATAGGACAAGAACAGTTCCTAAAATTCAGCACTGAATGTCAGTGCTACGCCAGCAAGAAATGCTTAATACATGTTTACTGTGCAAATGCCTGGAGTGAATTAATAACTCATTGCTCTCATGTGCTGCCTGTCTGTTCTTCCTCTGCTGGTCATTGTCACCTCCACAGACCTGAAGATCCCATGAACACTGTGCATTCCTCATTCTTATCAGACAGCTTACCTAAAACTGCCCAAGAAGATGGTGGGAGCAAGTATTTCTGGCTAAAAATCACTGATGCAGATTGAAGAGCATTGCATATGCCTTTCAGCTGACGGAGCTGCTGTAGGCTCTGATGAGCATATGGAGGTGGTGATGTTTTTGATTGGTCCTTGTAAGGCCTGGGAAAGGACCTTAATCTGACCTGACTAGCTGTACCCCATGATTGTCGTATCAGACTTGACAGCTTGATGTTCCTATCGCAGGAAGCAAATATCATGTTTATTCAATCCCTTGGAGCCAAGCAATTATCAAACTAGATCTTGCCAGTCTTTGAGCAACAAACTGGCTTCCCTTCCCTTTTATCATAGTCATATTAAACTTCATGGGTGTGCACATCCTTTGAGTCAGTAAGTGACAGAAAGCATAGAGATTCCCTGAAACTGGTTGAAACAGTTGTTTTGCCCTAAGTTCATGTAGATACCTTTTATAATCTTGAATTGCCCTTTGTATAAAAACCAAGAGCTTTCTTACCCGCTCCTTTGCAGGCGCTGTGTATTTTCTTGGCATCTCGGTCTGCATCAAAACCATGATGATGGCGTTTATTGGTTGACTAGGAAAACAGAGACACAACAGACACATGGGGAACAATTTTGCATTAATCTCTCTGAATGACAGTGGTTTGGGCCAGGTTCTTGCTTGATCTTTGTTCATACCATCTAAACAGTGAAGTTCATGCTGGGCTTTGCTGAAATACTGCATCTATCATTATGGCTCCTAGAACAGTTCCACAAAGAGCTGTCACCACATGACACATGGTGCAGATCCTATATAACCTTGTTCTGCCAGTTCAGGCTTATTCAGATAATTTAAATATAACGACTTCATACCAGGCATCTTCATGACAGATTAAGTATTATTTGTTTATACCACTTTAACAATAGGCCAATATAAATGCCTTATCAGATGTGTACAGAAAAATGCTCTGTCTCTGCAGTACATTTTTAAGTACTAGGATCTTGCAATCTCAATCAGCTGAACAAAAATAGGTCCTGTAAACTTTTCTTGCATTGATACATTAATGCAAACAAAATAACTGGAGATATATAAAGTGATAAAGCTGATGTTTCATTTTTTTTTTTATTTTGGCAAAATAGTACACGTGGTTACCTTGAGCTAAATCTATTGAGGATAATAACTCAAAGTCCACAGCCGCAGCAGCAGTTTACAGCCTGACATATCCATGTAAGCAGAAAACCATGCCTGTTTCTACTAATCTGACAAGCTGTGAATCACAAGGGCTGAAATGCTGGTACACTCTCTATTCTGCTGTTTCTCAGACAAGGGTAGAAGTAACTGAGAACAGGAGATCAGCATCATTTTCAACCCTTGTAATATCATGAATTGGATCTTTTAAACACACAGACTCTAAAAGAATACTAGAAAATAGGTCCTAGGCTCCTAAATTAAGTAGAATTATATGCATACCACATACTCAGGGCTCTAAGTGTGCACTTCAAGTGATTTGGTATTTCCATTCAAATAGCAACATGTGGATCACACTAATTGCTTTGCAGGTCCGCCAGGCACTGGAACCACCACTGTTAATTAAGGGTTATGACACCCCAGGGTATGGCAGTCTGCTTTTAAGCCCTTCTGGAAATGCCACCATCCAGCTGAAGAGCAAAAGAGGCTAACTGGCTGATGGGCCTCCTTGTCTTTGGGGATAGCACAGGGCAGGGATGATTCCTGAAATACATGAGGCACAAGATTATTCTGCTTGTGGGATAAAGAAAATTTAGCCATATGGCTCTGAGCCATTCTCTGCTACGTTACCTATCTGTCCAGAGAATGACCTGTTTTATTTACAAGTACAGATACAGCCTGGAAGTCTGTTTGTTGGTATTCTTCAAAAGTTTCACACTGTGATCTACTACCTCTGGTAAAAGAGCTACAGCTCTGGATAAAGGAGTCCTCTGTCAAAAGACAAAGGGCCTTTTCTCAAGGAGAAAACCCAAACCCAGTCCCTACACTGCTTTACCAATGTACCTTTGTGATAGACTAAATACTGTCTAAGGGACTGGCTTAGACATCTACTAAATAAATCACGCAGGCAGCTAGGACACAACTTACTGCTAATGGTAACTGCAGTAGTGCAGCCATCTCAATGAAAGAGAGAAATATTTTTACAACAATAGCAATGAGTAAGGTACAATGACAATGCAGTAACTTCTCTCAGTCTCTACAGCACAAGGTAACACTTTCATTGCCACATCATTATCACAAATGTTGCTTGTAAAGCTGTATCTTACTGTATGCTCTGACACACACGTGCTTCTTTAAACCTTCAAATAAGATGGAAGGAGATGCAGATAAGTAACTAATATTTTCTAATGGAAGATTTTAACTGTCTTCAGATTTCTCAGGAATTTTGTCAAAAGGAAAAGCACAGAATTAGAAAACAGATGCATTGATCGCTGTCTGTATCCAAAATGAATTGCATTCACATTTTTCTATTATGATAGGGTGTACGTGCCTCTCCTTTGATGGAATCATGTACAAAAGACATCTTTTTGCACAACATGCTTGAAAATTAAGCAGTTCTAATTTCTTCCTTTCTGATTGCTACACCCTCATTTTCATTCTTGTGAGAATAAAATTCACCTTTGTTCTCTGTAATACCAGTGACAGTTAACCAGACTCAGTGGGTGATGAATTTTTGGGAACAGAACAATGGGATCCACAATGCAGGAAAAGTTTATTCTGGATATACAGGCCCAGGGTGCAAATCCTGCATGCACAGTGGACCTCTTTGTTGGAGAGTTGTACAAGCACTGTGTTGGCACACAGTGCCAACATGTGACAGATTCAATGAGCGCTGTGGCATAGCATTCATAGAATCATAGAACTGTTTTGGTTGGAAAAGACCTTTAAGATCACTGAGTCCAGCCGTAATCCTAACACTGCCAAGTCCACCACTAAACCATGTCCCTACGCACCACATCTACATGACTTTTAAATACCTCCAGGCATGGTGACTCCACCACTTCCCTGGGCAGCCTGTTCCAATGCTTGACAAAACTTTAATGAAGACATTTTTCCTAATATCCAATCTAAATCTCCCCTGGTGCAACTTGAGGCCATTTCGTCTCATCCTATTGCTTGTTACTTGGGAGAAGAGACCAAGACCCACCTCTCTAGACACTCCTTTCAAGTAGTTGCAGAGAGTGATAAGGTCTCCCTTCAGCCTCATTTTCTCCAGACTAAACAACTTCTGTTCCCTCAGCCGCTCCTCATAAGACTTGTGCTCCAGACATCAGGAGGATGCTCTGCTGCCTGTTCAATTGAGCATGCCCCACAGACAGCAGTGTGTGGTGCCAGCACGGTTTTCCCCTCTTCATCATACCACGTTAAAATGCAAAGTGTTTTCAACACTTCAGCCTGTAATTTAACATATGACTGTTAGTATTGTCAAGAGTTACCACTATGTTGGGTAATGTGCTCCTAATTACTTATTGTTTCTGTATCATGCACCCTGGAGCAATCCCAATAGACATTGTAAGCTGGAGAGACTATCCCTGATTTCCACTGCAACATGTGGAAAGCAGCTGTTTGTAGGAACAGGGTACATACAGTATCTGGACAGAGTAAATGATGGTGACATTAAGCTATCATTATCCTACTGTTTGTGCCAGGCAGTCAGTACTGGAGTTATTCTAGAGTTACGAAGAGTTGTTGAAGTAGCTGAAAAATCAGCAAAAAAGGGACAATTCTGGAGCACAAAAAGACAAAGAAAAGTGCTAACATATCAAATGCATAGACTTGATGACTTTGTAGTATCCAAGTGCTACTCTAATTTAGAGACCCCCACATTCACTCCAGCAATATGAGTTGAGAACTGTTGCTCCACATTCACTTCCTCCTGACCTGGGACAGAAGATGCACTGGTGAGAAGTGAGAGGAAGAAGGCTTTGTCTGGCATTCATTCTCACTTTTAATTCATTCAGCCTGGACAGAAACACCTACACAAATGCCGAAAGACAAGGAGCTGGTTTGTACTTTGCTCTGCCCTACCCACCAGCAGTGCTGGGCTGTGAGTATTGCCCTTGTCATACCAACGCTGCTACCTCCGCAGCTCCTGCTGCCCCAACCCTATCACAGATGCATCTGGTTCTCTGGTAATGTAGTTACAGGACTTTGGGAGGGTGTTTTGCTTTCTTATGCCTTGATGGCTGCTCAGTTATGCTCAGGCTTTAATGAGTCCCTAACTCCTAGGTGCAACTTGTCATTGTAGCTGTTGTGTTTGTGCATAGCACAGCTGCAACAGGTAGGAAAATGGTAGCACCAGCAACTGAAATAACATTGTGGATTTATGAGGATTCATAAAGACATAAAGAAATGTATTTCTTTTTGAAGGAAAAATCATGCAGAAGGGAAGGAAGGACTGTTTCTTAATGATATTCAGGACATGTTTGTTTTAAAGCACCAGAGGAATCTATTGAGTCAGCTCTGCTAAAGCCACCATCTTCAAATAAATCACTGTAAAACATTAAATGATGGGCCTGGGAGATAGCGTTCTTACGGTACTGTGTATAATACTAGCATCAGCTTTATAGAAAGGAAATCTGATACTCTGGGCAGATGACTGTCAAGGCCAACTCCTGAGTCATCTGGAAAGCCCTGGTTAAAATTCACTACCTCCTGGGTTCCAGCCCTGATCTTGCCCACTGATGCAACTTTCCCACAAAGAAGAGGGAGACCTGTTTCAGAACTGTACTGCTTCTTACCCTGAGGATTTTGACAGGTGGATTTTCCTGCAAGGGATAAATAGCAAAAGAAATTGATGTTTAATATCTTTTGTAACTCGTAGGTGTTCCTTAAAAAAATATGGGCAGAGTCACTTTAATATAGTTCTTGTTTTAGTGTTAGGATCTTAGATTAGATTTCAGTAGGTAATGGCTTACAAGTGTTACAGCAATTTTGGTGATAGCATAAATATCAGGTGGACAGACTGCATACAAATTTTGCAGCTGGACATAGGATGTAGGGGAATTTACTCTCATAAATTGGTCCAGTTCTATCTATTCTGCTACTTCATTTTCTTCTACATTTATCTCCAATACTTCTGTATTAATTAGTGTAATCACGGTTCTGGTAGTAAGAAACTCTCTTTTCCCTTCCAGCTTCTCTGTATTCATGGCCTGTCTCTACTTGTTTTTTTTTCTGCCAACAGTGTTCCTTAGCTTAAACAATTTTTGCCTCACTCAAGCATATTTTTAGACAACAATCATTTTCCCTTGCAGCTTTGGGTAGAATTGCCACAGATTTATTTATATTAAACTGGATAGATAACTGATCTAAAACGTAACACTTCTATCTTGTTGTAAAGCACATCAAGTAGTTTTTCCTACTGTAAATTACATTTGACTTTAAGGAGGTGTAAGATGAGTTTATAGTTGAAGACGGTCTGCAATGCTTAGGGAAGCATTTGGAGAGTGCTCTTTGATATTTCAGCATGTGGAGCCCTTTTGGTGCAGAAATAAACAGTTTAACAAAAAGGTCAGCAAAACTAAGAGAGACATGGGAGGGCAGAAAAAGAACTCTGGTGGATTC